TTGGATCTGCCACTGATGCATAATATATTGATTTGTAAAGGCGTTATGGCTTATGCAATATGCAATTGCAGGCACTTGGTATCCCTCACTTATCCCTCATTGGGGCTCTGGCGGGCTCCTGAAGGCCCACGTCTATCTCCGGGAGCCCATATAGACAGGCTCCTTTGGGTCCTTTCAGTACACTATAGCATAAGAGGTCTCCATGCGAGTCCTATACATACATCTGAGGGCGTACCCTGATGTCTGAGGTACCCAACTGCAGCTCCAATGGTCTCTTCTTACACTGGCGGATCCAGGGAGGGGGCATTTAGGGCCATGCCCCCTTCCCAGAGGCCTAAAGTGGCCCGTTTTCCCCCTCCCCCAAACGATAATGAAACATAGTTCAATCAGGGCGTGGCCCAGGAGCCGAGTTAGACAGGGCTGTTTTACCACCTCCGGCCCGCAAAGGGACCCAAGCACTGACTCGAAGCGGGTTAAAGAGACCCTCCCACCTTCAAAAAAGTTAATGAATTGGCATGAAAGTGATGTCGCTAGGTTCAGAAAGGGCGACAACGAATATCTACCAAATTTTATCGAAAAATATTCACCGGTTTTCAAGAGATTAGACTTTTATTTTTGTTTACTTTTTGGGATATCCGCTGCTGTTCCTAGCGACTTTATTTGAAAGTGCGGCATTTGTTGCGCGCAAAGCAGCCTATACCACCGCATGCTACCAAACGTTTTAGTAAAATATTAAAAAATCATTAGATCTCCGCTGACGTCACACATTCAGAGGGGTATCCAAAAGCATTAGCCCCTCTGAATCAAAATGCTGCAATTTTGAAATTCAATATTTCCGATTTAAGGCATTTCTCGATGTTGTGAGTGCGTGCCGAAACCGGTAATTGTGAGCCAGGGACCCCATTTTGGCTATCTCAGCTCAAATCTAATGTTAAAGGGACCCTCCCACCTTCAAAAAAGTTAATGAATTGGCATGAAAGTGATGTCGCTCGGTTCAGAAAGAGCAAAAATGAATATCTACCAAATTTCATCGAAAAATATTCACCGGTTTTCAAGATATTGGACTTTTACTTTTGTTTACTTTTTGGGATCTCCGCTGTTCCTAGCGACTTTATTTGAAAGTGCGGCATTTGTTGCGCGCAAAGCAGCATATACCACCGCGTGCTGCCAAACGTTTTAGTAAAAGATTTAAAAATCGTTAGATCTCCGCTGACGTCACAAATTCTAAGGGGGCATACCAATGCATTAGCCCCTTAGAATCCGAAAACTGCAAGTTTGAAATTCCATATCTCCGAATTAAAGCATTTTTCGATGTTGTGAATACCCAAACCGGTATTTTCAGGCCATGGCCACCAATTTGGCTATCTCAACTCAAAACTAATGTTAAGGTGGGAGGGTCCCTTTAAGGTGGGAGGGTCCCTTTAACTGGTCGATAAAAACAATGGTAAGTGTTTACAAAGTAATATAAAGGCATGGGTCGGGTGGGCTACCATTTATATATTTTTCTTTTTAGTTAAAAAAAATTCATAGTGTTAGGGCTGTGACGAAAAATAAGTGGCCTAAATCCGATGAGAAAACAGGATTTGGGGGTACCCTAGGTTTGGCTCCTGCATGAGTTGGCCCCCCCCCCCAAAACGCAAGCCTGGATCCGCCAGTGACCATATACATACGTGATCATTATAATTAACCCGCGCGGGGCTGGGGTCTCCAGCCGAACGCGCGGGGCTGGGGGGGGGGGGGTAAATTTTACCCCCCTGTTATCTCCCGAATTAATGGTCCGATTTGGAAAATTCAAACGCCAATCGAAAGCTCTCATCACGAACTACTAAGAACATGTACTTAATTTAAAGTTTGAGGTCAAGGTCAAGGTCAGGTCAAGGGTACAAATTGCAAGTTTCTACAGTATCGGCCTTGCACCGTAGTTGCCGAAGAATGGAGTCATGGACTGAGACTGATCGCCCAAAACGTGTTCTTAGGCTACCAAGACAATATTCGTTGCATACAATATCATTCAGAGGTCAAGGTCAAGGTCAGGTCAGGTCAGGTCAGGTCACCAAAAAAACAAAATATAGAAAAGGGCATGTGCGACACATGTTTTATGGGTCATTTTACTCATAGAATTCAATAGGCACACTCAATAAGTGATATGGACCACCTCTGGCTGAATTTCAGGTCGAGGTCAGGTCAAGGTCAGGTCAAGTGAGGTCAAATTTTGAAGTTGGTTGTTAAGGCCTAAAAAGGTGTCTATCTGATGCAGTTTTTCACGGCGAATCGAATGGTGCTATTTTTGTTTCCGTACGAGGTCTAGAACTTCCAAAAAAGTCATTTTTCAAAAAATTTGTTTGTCGTGACGTCATAAAATTTTGAATAACTCCCACATTTTTGAACCGATTCTTCTAAAATTTGGTATGTAGGTGCACATAGACCATTTCTCTGACATATATTCCGGTTTTTTCGATAGACTCAAAGTTTTGGATTTTATAATGATTTTCCCAAAAAAATCAGTTTTTTGAAAAAATTTAGGCCAAAATCCAAAATTTTCAAAAAACCGAGACAGCCATTTGATAGACAAAGTAAAATTACGTATAACCTTTTTTGTTACGTCTTGATTCCTTTAAAAATGAAGATGTTAGCGGCGTTTGAACTTTTGCCGTTTTTGAGGCGAAAATGGCGAACATGACGTCACTAAAACGTCAATTTCTCAAAAATTTTCCGACGGATTTCGCTCAAATTTTCAGGGAACGTGTCACATTGATGTAAGAAAAGGTACTGAAAGTTTGGCGGCGCTGCGCGCCGCCGTTTTTTGAGATATCGCAAAAATTCGCGAGGGGGGGGGGGGGGTAAAATTTACCCCCCCAGCCCCGCGCGGGTTAACATGGGATGTCATCTTTTATCATTTGCACTTACCAGCACTGCTAACTGAGTATGTGCTAAAAGATGGGTTTGTCTGAAAATAAGTCCAGAGATCATTGTAATTGAGAACGGTGTATCAGTGTGTTAGGCATGAACGATAGTCATATTAGTTAAGTGTGATAATTCGAGGCTGTGTTTGCATCATGCTGGCAATATTCCAAAGCAATAGGCCATAGTTAGCTGCGTATCTCAATTACTGCTATCTAGCTGACATTTACTTCTAATTAACTTCCTTTCATTACAGTAACTTGTAACTCCAAAGGAAGTAATTTCTGATCGCTTCCGATAAATATTAACCCTAGAACGCCTGGGGGGGGGGTTGTATCAACCCCCCCCCCCCGAGGTTTTTCTTAGCTACACGCCGAACCGTTTCAGATAGCCTGCTCAAATTTTCAGTACCCTTTGGGGTATCCTTTGCGCAACTTTTGGTAATTTTTTTGTCAAGGTCATGTCAGGTCACGGAGTTATGACGTCATAAAGGGAACAACCTCCGGCCAGATTTACGCTAAATTGGAGATTGCTTCACATTGGTATAAATGCCGACTGACCTGACGCACTAATGGATTGTTTTATAGAATCACAACTGGCTGATTTGACATTGGCACAATGTCCGTTGACATTTTGAAGGTCACTAAAGGTCAAGGTAAGGTCATTGACCTCGGTTGACCTGTAATGACTTCTTGCACTTGTATGCCATTTCGGGGTATTTTGATGCCCTGAATTCGAATTTGCTATCCATTTCAGGCATCGTCGGTTGTTTCTTGTAGTTCATTTTGGGTCAGGGTCAGGTCAGTGACGTCACACGCCTGACGTGACCCAATGGACAAATGACCTTGCAGACTTCCGATGCTCCCAACGCATCATTTTTAAAGTTATGACATCGAAATACACACCAAACGATACAGAATTGATCAAGGATCACGTTAGTGAAGGTTTCAAGTCGATATCTCTTACCGTTTTGCCGCAATCGGCGCGGAAATCTGAAAAAGTTAGATTTTTCCGAAAATTTGACCTTTGACCGGTCATAAGTAGGTCAAATGTTGACCTAGGACCAAAAAATATACCACCAATCGCGAGATCTCGTTGAGAGCAATCCGTTGGTTTTTACCGCTAAGCTCTACGACCTTCCGTTTCGAAACGCCAGGGGGGGGTCGTAACAACCCCCCCCCTGGTCGTTCGTGTTATGAGAAATGGCCTGGTCGTGCGAGGGTTAATTAAGTCTTGAATTCGCTTATGCACATAATAACAAGCCCTAGTTGTGTGAAATAATGCAATGATTTAGCAAAGCATCATTGAAAAACAATCTCATCTTCAATAACCGACGCATTCTACAATGAAAATAGATAATTACTGAACTTTGGACCAGGTGAATTATAAATAAATAGCACACCGAAAAGCCATTGGACATAAGTGCACTATCACGGGCCTTCCCCGTGCCTGGAAAGAATAAAAATTTATGATTAAAAATGAATCGTAGCAAATCCGTGAAATATGCTCATTCTGATCACATTCGTAAAGCTCGCTGCTTGCGGCCGACATTTGTATGCGCAGCAACGGAATTAATCAGTGCAGCTGTACCGGCGCGGCGTGAAGAAGGATAGCGCGCGTCCCTGAATATCACCCTCCTATGGCTATTTTTAGGGTAGGTAGGTGGGCAGTGAGAGCAATCGGATATGGCCAGACAAGTGCAGCATGCATGACTGCTCTTCAAGTGCTCTCCTCCGGCTCACATCAAACGGCTGCCGAGGGATTCGGAATTTAACGTCGTTTTATTTCAGAGCGCTTTTCAATTGAAGACGTTGAATTATTCAAACGCTCTACCACCTGAATGCAACAGTTACCCATGCGACCTGCAGGCTCTCATAGCACGTCTCGCGCAATGCTATGGGCATACAATGGCTGATATGTATGCATCACGCTCTGACTTATCAATCGCAGAAAAGCATGATTGTTTACCCCTTCTTTCATAGGTATTCGACGCTCGTGGTAACTTTTCTGGACAACATTTAGTATGTACTAAGCTCTAAAATGACTGCTGATGCTCTAATACACTTGAGGTAAGACGTAACACCCTTTTGTGCCCTCAGGCTGTGGGGATGGCAAGTACCTGACTCTAAACGCCGATGCGTTCTTCATCGGAGGAGATCACTGCGAGAGGCTGGCGGCGGCGGCGGCCCAGAGGACAAGGCAGCAGGTATGTCTCTCTGTCTGTCTGTCTGTCTGTCTGTCTGTCTGTCTGTCTGTCTGTCTGTCTGTCTGTCTGTCTGTCTGTCTGTCTGTCTGTCTGTCTGTCTGTCTGTCTGTCTGTCTGTCTGTCTGTCTGCCTGTCTGTCTGTCTGTCTGTCTGTCTGTCTGTCTGTCTGTCTGTCTGTCTGTCTAATCTAAATTAAATCAGACGAAGGTCGGCTTTCATTTTATTAGATGCGAACTTAAATTAAACGGTCACTCTCTACGACGACAAGTGATTGTTCGAGTGATCACGTCCTTACCCGATGGCGAGAGAGGAGACAATTTAGGGATGCCACGCGAGCCATGCTGACATAAATCACTAGTCGGAATTCAGCAGGGATCAGGTGGACCGCTTTCCAAAACCAAGCTGGCTGAAGTAGTGGCGTTACTCTATTACGATCAATAACCTGTCGAATGTCTTCCCAAAGTATTATAATACGATACGAAATCGAAAAGATCATAATCTATCCACCAGTATCGAAAAAAATGATGGTCCATTAAAAAAATGCTTGAAGAATTGAATCTTCTCAAATTTAGACTCATCTCGGCTGATCCAAAATACGGACGGTGGGTAGGCTGCGCCGTCGTACACATGTGCATTGCGGGACAGTCTATGTCCTGCTCGTCTCCCAACGAGCGGTAGGGCTGAATTCCTCGGCGTGTGACGCCGTGTGACCCAGCGTGACGGCGTGTAACGTCATGTGACGCTGTATGACGCTGTGTGAAATTACCTAATGCTCCCCATGTGGTAGTGTGTGACGCAATGTGACGTTATATGACGCTGTGTGACGCAATGTGACGTTATATGACGCTGTGTAACACTCCTTCCCCCTAGGTGGTGGTGTGTGACGCGCTTAGTCTGCCGTTCCGCGACGAGTCGGTGGACGCGGCCGTCTCTGTAGCCGTCATCCACCACCTGGCCACCACCGAGAGGCGGGTGCGCGCCCTGCGGGAGCTGGCCAGAGTGCTGCGTATCGGCGGCCGCCTCATCGTCACAGTCTGGGCCATGGAGCAGCGAGCCAGGAAGGTGGGCATTTGGAGACCACAGCCAATAAGAGGGAAGTGAATGTTTTTGGCATCTTGCGTTCTCATTGATGGTGTCCGACAAACGATCAATATATCAGCAGGTCTATAGATCACCTGGCCCACTAGAAATCCTGAAAAAATCAGAATATTTGGACCAGCCGTTTTCAAGAGCATCAAGTTGTACTGATCTCAGGCAGCTTTTGCCAAATTGTCAGGGAACTCAGATTTGTTTTTCAATAGAAAAACACAATTCTAAAGAATAGTGTTTTAACTATTGACAACAAACCTTCGGTTACCCAACTATATCCATTCATCTATTTCCATTCAAGAGCCCGCCTCAACGTTTGCAGGAGCAGCATCAGCCTCCCATTGTTAAGCCTAGTCAGATGTATGTTCAGTTCCATGAGTCGCTCTGTTGACTTGACGTTGCTAACCCGTTCCGGCAGTTCGAGTCTCAGGACGTGTTGGTGCCGTGGGATCAGTCGCAGTCACAGAGCAGCTCCGACCAGACATCAGCCGCCGCCGAGCCCGACGTGACCTCCACGGCTTCCGAGGAAGACCTGCTGGCCTACAACGCCTTCACGCAGAACAGCGACTCGGACTCGACTAGGTCCTCCAGGTGAGTCGAGAGTCGGCCCGTGACTCGGACTCGACCAGGTAAGTCCAGGTGAGTCGAGAATCGGCCTGCGACTCAGACTCGACAGGTGAGTCCAGGTGAGCCAAGAGTCGGTATGTGACTCAGACTTGACCAGGTGAGTCCAGGTGAGTCGAGAGTCAGTCTGCGACTCGGACTCGACAAGGTGAGTCCAGGTGAGTCGAGAGTCGACCTGTGACTCAGACTCGACTAGGTCATCGAGGAGAGTGAAGAGATCACCCGACCTCACCAAACGTCGGGGTAGTCGGCCCGTCTGCAGGGACTCCAGCTCGACTTGGTCTTCCAGGAAAGCCAAGAGTCGACCTTTTCCCACCCGCTGTGGGGGAATTTGATCGGTTCTCTGAGGCTCACATGCGCAGATCCGTTCGCCTTTGGTTGCCTGAAACATGATCATATTGGTGTAAGATTTTAAACTGCATTGCAAACTTCGACGGTTCGTTCTTTTATGTTCGTTTTATTGATTCATTCATTTCGTATAAATTGAACATGTTGATTTATGCATGTTGTTCCTTTCCAGGGAGAAAGGTAAGGACAAAGATCATGAAACTGTTTGATTAGTGTATTTGTTGGTTTGTCGATTTGTCATGCTCATGGAATGTTTTTGGCGTAACCACAACATACGGAGCTCTTTTCCTGTATAATCCACTGTTAGACCTGTGCCCTTGACGAAAAACCTTTCCTCACTTGCAGATGACTGTGAACTGTAAATCATGAAATCAGCAAAACTTTTGCAATTACCAATCATTGAGATCAATAGGATTTATTCTTCCGTTCCGTTCTTCCGTTCCGTTGGAAGGAATCAAAGCACAAGGTTAAAAGCTTCACGGCAAAGCGATTACCTACACTGAGCGGTGGGGGAGAAAATCCTAATCCTGGTCGGGATACTCCTTTAAAGTGAATAAATGAACGTCCCAGCTGTGCTGGAGCTAGCTATTTCGGTAGCCCTGCCATTTATAATATTTGCCTATGGAGAATTACTAAGAGTTTTGGCGAATAATGGCTGACGCGAGCAGGACAAAAATAGCCGGGCTATTAGAATGACAAAATGCTGTTCTCCATTTGCTTCACTAGCTCAACCTCCTTCCACTGCACCGTAGATCCGTGTCCTTACTTATTTGCAGACGAAGTCGGAGTTAATTTCATAGGTTCGTGCTGATGGGCCAAAGGTGGACGTAGCGTCGGACAGCGATGCTGCGCAATGAAATAACGTATCGCTCAGCGAGCTTTCGGGTCACCGGACCTAAGACATTTATTCAATCATCGAGCCAAAGTCAATGTTGCTAAATTTCTCAAAGTCATAAAAACCAGTATTCGTCCAATAACTAGTTTTATGACAAGTTTTATCCCAACAGGTTACAGGATAGTTTGCGTCAGCCCCGACGGTAACGGATAAAAACCGTTTAAAACATACTTAAAGACTTTTAAAACGGCATATATTAGAGATGGTTAAAGGAATAATGGATTGTGGAATATAGCACATCATCATAAAAAATCGATGCGTCAGGGACTCAGGACGATGGAATCAATAAAAGATCCAAATATAGTGTTCCTGCTAGGCGAATAATGATGGCTAGGCGAATCGCCTGTAACAGATGGCGATTTTCGTCATGTCACATCGGTAGCCTATATACTTTATCACTTATTCATAGGTGACTATACCTATCCACTAACGTGATCTTCACGTCTCATTTTTATTTTTTTTAACTTCATCTCAGCTAGACTCACCAGAGAGGATCGATAGTCGTCTTGATAACAGCAGTGCCTTGCCGCCTGTGATGCCGTGCCCATCGCTTGAACCCAAAGTTTACCGGCGAATTTAGTGGCAAATGAATGCTGTAAAGAACCTTGTAAGTTAAGGTATATTCCCGCTAAAGACGGGAGCGAAGCGATCGCCCAACTGGAGGGAGGTTTCAGTGAAATAAATGCTTCCCATCCGTTCGACTTACGACGCTCGAAAACGGCCGCCAGCGACGGCCAATAGCGGGAGCTCGGAAAGAGAAAGGAGTTCAGCCCCGCTGCCGGCCGGCCGCGCCGGGCGCTGGCTTGGCGAGAGGCGAACGGACACGGACACGGACAAACGGTCACGGTCATGGACAAATGGACACGGGAGCGGACAAACAGATACAGACAAACGGACACGGGATTCAAGACAAACGGATACGGAGAAACGGAAACGAAATACTGACACGAACAAACTGACACGGGCACGGACAAACGGACAGACGGACATATAATGTAAGCACGGATATACGAACACGCGGACACGGACACATGGAGATTGACACAGACACAGACACAGACACAGACACACACACAGACACAGGGACGCACGGACAAACGAGCACACAGACACTCTGACACGAAAACTTACAACCACCCGGCCATGTCTCCCTCACAAGGACTAATAGGGAGCCGGGAGCACGAACGGGATTAGGTCCAGATCCAGTTGTATGCAAGGGATGCGTAGTTTAGGTATACTATGTGTCCGAAATAGCACGAGCAAATATTTCCATTATGCATGCACATTGTGCGTGCTAGAGGAATGCTTTGCGTGCTTACGCACTCGTACCTCAGTACACTTGTTTCACCTTGCATTAGGTACTCAAGTGCTCAGTTTCCGCTTGTGTATGTTTACGACTTGTAAGCATCAAGACATCTCAGGTGGTACTTTTGCCAAGTGAGTACTTTTACGTCATAGGTCGATTAGTGCAACGGACTAACGTGTTATGAAGCAGGAGTTCGTGAGCTAAGGTGAAGGAAAGTCGCCGACGTCGGCAGTTCGGTCTGCAGCTTTATCTATTCATACCGGTCGATCAACGAAACTTTTGCCATTACTGACAGAGTGATTTAATTGAAGAGCTTCCGGCACAGTTCATCATTTCTGGTCTCGAACTTTTCACACGATGAGAGTCGAAATGCTTATGCGTCAATTAATTATGACTGTACGTAACTACGGAGTACCGAACTCCTCCGCTAAGCTCTTCTGTCCCTACTCCAAGTTGAAGTGTCCACTCGGAGCGTAGATGTTTTCACCGCTCTATCAGCGTAATTGGATCACCAACTGCATTCATTTAAACAACTTCAGGAGTGCTCAGAAGGACATGTTTTCCAACGGAACTTCCAGAACCGCCTTTCCCGACGTACCTACTCCAAGACTCCACTCATTCATAACATATAAACACAATAAAACCCACTGCTGCATCGGTGGTCTGATCAATTAAACGTGCTTCCTTTTCATCGCCAGTGGATGACAATTAACGCTACCCTACACCACATAACTGCGCCAGTGCCTGCCTGAGACTGCGACTGGCGGAAAAGCGTCCCATCCCACTGATGATCGAAGAACCGGACCTTGTTTGTTGCCAGGTTCCTGAGCCGTCGGGCCACGCGGCGACCTCGGCGGGTGCGAGCCATCGACCCAAAGCTGCCCAGCTCGTCACAGAGCTCGTCAGACCTCTCGTCACCCAGCGAGTCCTGCTACAGTTTCGTCAGGCGCGCACTCCAGGTGAGTGTAGACAGTGGACTGTGGAGCAAACTTGGGCTCTTCACGGCTCTCCCCCGAATAGTCCGAGAGACTGCTATTCGACTTATCTTGATTACAGTCATTATTACTGAATAATGTTTTCCTCTGAAAGTGGACTTCTGATACGCTAACATGCTGTCTCACACATACCAAATGTTCTGCCTCGCTTTCCAAATATACCGCCTGACGTCCTATTGTGTGGTGTTTCACAGAAGCTGGCACGGCGCGGAGAGATCGGTGCTGGTCGACCACGCTCCTTCTCCCCTTGGCCAGAGACCTCCGACGCCAAGCCCGACTCCAAGGCAGACGCCAAACCTGCCGAAGACGACGACCAGCTGATCGAGATTCGGTTGGACGACGACGTCAGCGCCCTGGAAGAGTCGACTATCGCCAACCGTGGTGTGCCGGTCGCCGGGCAGCTGGCAACCTTCAAATCGCACAGTGTCGGGGACGTGTGGAGCTTGCTGGCTGCGCTCCGCGGCGCTAAGAGACCGGATGGTACCGAGGAGCGCCGTGGAGAAGCTGGTAGGACTTCGTTGCCGACCGACCGTCCCCGCAGCTGTCCGTTCGACTCTGTTGGCCTGGACTCGACGCAGCGGAGACAGACACCGGCCAGATCCGCCAATCGCAAGTCAGTGACGTTCTCCACCCAGTCGCTGACGTTACCGCGAGACAGACCTCCTCCCAGTGACGTGGTCACCGCTAAGTCCAAGAGCGACAGTGTGCTGGACGCCCGAGTGCGTTCTTGCGAGCTGCTACGAGCCGCGCTCAGTACTGTCCCTGAGACACGCGAGGCGATGGACGAGGCACGAGAGGTGACCGACGAGGCCAGAGAAGCAGGCGACGAGACGAGGACACGGCAGAAACCGGCACTGGTGCGTCAGCAGCGCTGTGAGGAGGCCGTCCGGCGTCTGTCGGAGGCAGAGGCGAACGCGGTGGACACCAGGATAGGTCGTCTCACTGGAAAGCAGAGCTCCCTGAACGAGAACCTAATCCACTCGGACCGGTTACTAGAGCGAGAGAAACTTCAGTCGGAGATTGTCAAACAGCGCAGTCTGAATGATAGCTACCTGTACGGGAAGCTGGAGAATGCCGAAACGATGCCCCAAGATGGCTTCTTGGCAAGCTACAAACGGCTAAAAATCATCAGAGACAGTCTGGGAAAGCTAAGCGAGAGTTTGGAAAAGATTGCTGAGAACGAGCCACCCACGTCCTCGCTCAAAAATGGTTTTGTCAAGATGGTGCGCAACTGGACAGATGGCGGGACAGCGCATGCAGAACATACTGACCCTGCCGTTGATGAGCCTGATCCACAGACTGACGCAGAATGTCCCGAGTCTTCCCAGTCCTCGTCAGAAACCTGCCGCGTCCCAGACCCTCCTCCAATGCCACCGGTGCCGGTGCAGATGCAGGGACCGGCTGCCAACCCAGACCGGTCCAACGCGCCTCCAGCCGATCTCTCCGCCAAGCCGGTGACTCCGGCGACCGGCTCCCGGATCGAGCGACGCGCCATGTACCGGTTCGCCTCCCGCGAGCGGCGCACCTCCAAAGAAGAGAGCTCTGACAGTTCCAAGGAGAACAGCTTCCAGAGTGACACCAGCCTGGACTCTGAGGACAGTTGTGTGTCGGTGATATTTGTACCTAAGCGTGAGACGGCCACCAACGCTGTGACCGAGAATGGCGTGAAGCCACGCAGCTGCTCTGTGTCCAGCGAGTCGTCCGGCAGCTCTTCACCACGGTCACCCCGGTCCCTAACATCCGGGCCATCTTCACCCACTCGCGCACCCGGTGCTCTGGCCAGACTCAACATGCTGAAAACGCGGCCGAAGTTGGGACCACAGCTGCCTTTGGTCGGCAGGTTTCCGCTGCTGGCACCACCCCCGGGCAAAACATTACCGAATGGCGGAGACTCCACTCCCAGTATAACTCCGGCAACCACTCAAAGCCAAACTCCGTCTCAGAAACAGACCACGACTTCCCCTCCAGCAATCCCTCCACGTTCGAAGCCGGTTCCTGCTCCAAGTGCGTCCGAGTCTCCCCCTCCAACTCCGATGTCGCTGTCAACTCCAAGCCCTGCGCCAATCCCTCCCCCGCTGCCACCACGACCCACCACCGTCCCTAGTCCTGCCGAAGAGTCGAAGCCCTCCAAAGATCCCGTCCGTGACAACCCCGGGCCTCCTGACACTGCCGACTGCCCACCCCGCCTGTCGGCCTGTCCTTCCTGTGAGATGACTGCTCTAGCGACCAACAACAGCTTTCGGAAGAGTTCTGCGCCGCCTCCAGCTGACAGCGTCAACAACAACGTGCAGGTGAAGCTGGATGCAGCTGCTGCGGCCGGCGCGCTTCTTGACCGGCGCTGTGTGAGCTCGGTGGCCCCCTCACGTTCGTCAGGCGCGGCGCGAGTGGAGCTCGTCACGGCTGCCCCTGTCTCGGCGCTGGCCCTGCAACCGAGCGGCGGTCTGGAGGTGGTGCGCCGGCCGGGCGTTCAGGGCCTGCGGGCGGCCGGTCGCGCCGCGCCCGCCTTCCTCACGTTTGAGGTGTTCCACCCGGAGACCGATGACCTGGACTCGGAGAGCTCGTGCGGCAGCAGCAGCGACAGCAGCGCGTGCAGCGTGCTCAGTCAGCTGGCCGACTGGCCGAGCTCGCAGGAGCTGCTCGACCTCGACCGCGACATCGAGCTTCAGCAGCAGGAGCAGAGGGAAGCGGAGGAGGGCGGCACGTCCAAGAAAAGTCAGGATACTGAGATTGGCGCATATTTGGCCGCGGAGGAACAGCCGGGGAGTGCAGAGAAACTGAGACTCTCGGAGCAGTCTGTGAGGACAGTGAAACTGGAGAACTCGGAACGTCAGGGGAGTGCAGAAAAACTGGGCCTCTCGGAGCGATGCGGGAGGTTGAAAGAGCTTGGAGGCGGTAGCAGTGAAGAGAAGCTGCCAGAGCTGGACCGTGATCTTACCGTGATGGAGGTGCAGGACGTAAAGCTGGTACCAAACTCGTCTCTCTGTCCACTTGCTTCGCAGGAGCGACGTCCTACTGACACAAATGCAGGTGAGCGGACCACCCGACACCGTCACTAAAAGAAACAGTTAGATTGACTGATTTGGATCATGGACGACTCCCTATGATTTTTGTTAGGAACGACTTAAAATAAATGTTATAAATTCGAACATCATGACGAATTTAATCTAAGATCTAATAAGGTATTTTATAGGTTCTACCACGTAGCTATTTTCTGTCAATTAAAGTGATAGACCTGAACTGTAACCAAGCGCTCTAGAACAGCAAGTAGCTAATTTTGTTTGCTGATTGGGAGCACACTCCATTCACAATTGTTGTCCATTTTCAGACACACGACCTCCCCTGGGCTCCAAGACCTCCAGCGCAGAGATCCTGGAACCAGCCGACCGCGCGGCCGCCGGCACCGCAGCCGCCGCCTCCGCCGGGTCGGTCGGCTCTGAATTCCGCTCGGCTTCGCCTAACGAGCTTGTTAGTGTCGACCGCGTCCCGTCGGGCCCGCCTTCGACGACGGGTCGACCTCCGGTCACATTATCCGGCGGCCCCGAGCCGAGAGACGCGCTGCGCGCCGGGAGCGGGCCGACCGCTTTGTCCTCTGTGATCGACGAGTCGGCGCCGCGTGCTGAATCGAGTGTTGGCCCCGATACGGTTGGGGAGGACCCGGGGAGGGCGGCGGTGACGGCTGTCCAGGGGAACAGTGACGCCGCAGAGATTGACGATGTTGCTAAGGGTGGTGTGTTTGGTGCGGCGGTACGCTCGGAGGAGTGCAGCGGAGAGTCGGGTGGCAGCGGTACCGCTCGTTGCGATCCGGAGCAGCCGGCGGCTGTGAGCAGCGCCCGCTGCCGCCGGAAGGTGACACTGGCTCGCCTGGACGCTCCGCCGCTGGAGCGAGTCGCCGAGGAGGCAGAGACGGCAGCAGTGCGGCGGAGACCGGTCTCCAGCCTCGGCTCAGCCTCCTCAATGTCGGAGGCGGAGACGAGCCGACCGCCGGCGCTGGCCGCCGCGCGCGCCTCCAGTCTCAGCTCGAGCTCCGCGGGATCGGTGGGACGGCGAGCACCGAGCCTGGCCACCGCCCGCGCCTCTCCCTCCTCGCCGTGGAGCTCCGGTTCGAGTGTGTCGGACGGACTTCGCGCGCCGAGCCTGGCGACCGGGCGGGGGTCGCTGACCTCCACCCTCAGCTCAGCGTCCAGCCTGTGGACGTCGGACGGCTCTCGGGCCGGCCACAGTCACAGCTGGGGGTCGAGCCGGTCCACCTCAGAGGGCGCCACCAGTCTGACCGAGCCGAGCGGGGCCGAGAGCCCGGCCGGCCGGCCCGCCGCCGACAGCGCAACCACCGCCAGACGCATCTTCGACCAGGCGGAGGCGGACGCAGCGGCCGCGGAGGTGGCGGCGGCGGCAGCGGCAGCGGCGGCCTCTGAGGGAAGCCCGGAGGAGGCGGACAGCCAGGAGGCGTCTTCTGAGGGCTCTCCGCGACCCGATCAGGGCGGCACCTTCGGTCACCACCGCTATTATCATGTCTTCCGCGAGGGTGAGCTCGACAGACTCATCAGCAAGTACGTGGACAACCTGCACATCATCTCGTCCTACTACGATCACGCCAACTGGTGTGTAGTGGCCGAGAAAGTGCAAGTGTGGACCATCTAGCTGGAGACGCTGGTGTGTTGACCACCGCCTGACCGGTCCGTCGCGGCCCCATGAGTGACGAGCACTGTACTCCCGCAGCCAATCCTTGCCAGTTACGTCGTCGTGTCGTCATACATTCACTGGTGGAGTGATGACGCCGTTCTCTATTTCTCCGTTTATAAGAAATATAGCCAATCGCGTTTAGAGACATATCGCTGAAACTCCCCTGTCGACACCGATAGCTCGACTCGGGACACGCGCTGGTTTGAGCTACACGGGTACCTTCACGACGACCCGACAGAGGCGTTGATCTCTATGTAGGTGGTCCTCCTCCAAGGCTGTAGGCTTCCGTTATGCGTTTCGCTCCGTTACGGCTCGCTTAGCTCACGGAATCGAGTGTCTCCCGATCCTCGGCGGGCGATCCGTGACAGAAAGACAAATGCTAGTCGTACTGAGTACGCCTGAACATATATACAGAGGATGTATGGTATTCAATAATGTCGTTATATGAATCGTTATACGATGATGCCGTATTGTGTTTCCTGTACCTATCAAATAAAACTGGAAGACGAGCGAACGGCATCAGCGAAGGCGTTTTAGCGTTGAGGCATGGATACCCAGAAGGCACATGCTTACGATGCCGTAATACGTAAAAGGTGTAGCCCAGGCTCCAGACTCCAGAGCTATCTGCAATCGCCAATCTGCAATCATACAGGGTAGGCAATGCTCACTAGTCCGTGTTGAACCGCTGACATGCCTCCTAATAAAATGTACCGTATGCAATACATTACAATTAGGTATATGTCCATCACGGAATGGCATTATTTCGTCTCGAAAGGCCCAGCTCGATAATTTTTTATTATGTTTTTTAGATTATAGCTCCTCCTAATCTAACTCTCATCTTTTCACCTCCAGCCAGCAGGACAGTAAGCAGTCGAAAGAAATGCTAATAGTTTTAGCAAATATCAGAGGGATGAGGCGCCCGACAGACCAACTTACCTTTTCTGAGTATTCCCTTTTCAATCTTCCGATTCAAATTTATCAAAGTTCAGCTAGGGGATATTCTGGCAGCTTCCACCACGAACCCACGTCAACCCTGAACTCATGCGGCTGAAAATGACGCTGGCGTGACGTTGGCAGCGACACCTGTATATAACCCGCGCCCCACTGGGGTCTGCGTATAACACGCCCTACTGGGGGGGGGGGCTATTCATAGCCCCCCCTCCTAACTCCGAAACTACTGGGCCGATCGTCAAAATTCAAACGGCGTCTGATAGCCCCGGAAAAACTGTCGAGCGAAACCTAATTTCATTGACGTCGAGGTCACTGATGACGTCACAGGTCAGGTCAAAGTAAAAATTATTAGCATTTTGGCTTCTTCACGTTTTGGGCTCTGGCCGCCGTCTTACAAGTCAGAGCAGGCTCATTTTTGGTTCACACACTCGTGAACAGATGCTCTAGATACTCTGAGGGTACCAAACTTGTACTTTGATTTTCAGGTCAAGGTCAGGTCATCACAGGTCACGAAAATATTATATCATGCGTCGGTCACGTGACACATGTTTTATGGTCCATTTAGGCCAAACATTTCGAATTTGATGTCGTCTGTGTCATTCGAGGTCATTTTGAGTCAAATTTCGCTTAGGTCAGGTCACTTTCAGGTCAAAAAAGGTCAAATTTTGAAGTTAAAATTTTTCAACAAAAAAGGTGTCTACTGGATGCAGTTTGAGCTCAGGAACACGATGGTGCTATTTATATTGGCGTACGATGTCAAATTCGTGCTGAAAAATTGATTTAAAAAATTAATAATTGTTAATTTTTTGCAATAATGCGTATAACTTGGCCATTTTTGAAGATATTTAGCTAAAACTTGCTAGAGTTAGTCATAATAATGCGTTCTATCACATATATTCCGGTTTTTTCGAAAAGTCAAAAAGTTTTTGAAAAAAATGTAAAAATATAAATTTTGAATTTTATTACATAAAATTTTCCAAATTTTCAAAATTTCGAAAATCCGAGATAGCAGTTTGATAGCGCAGTCTATTCTGAGTCCTCTCATGCAAAGAAATTGGCTCTAGCTTAAAAACTGAGCTCTTGGGAGCATTTGCCGTGGTTCAATGTTTTGCGTCGAAATCGACCGAACATGACGTCACTCTGACGTCATTTCCGGCCAACCTATGGTAGGTACGAAGTTCAAATTTTGACACAAGGTGTCAAATTGATGCAGCCAAAGGTACTGAAAGTTTGGCGTTGATACGTCAATCGGTTTGGAAGTTATTGCAGAAAAACGGGAGGGGGGGCTATAAATAGCCCCCCCCAGTGGGGCGCGGGATAACTGCCAGGTGGCGCTGAAGTGTTGTTAAGGGTGTGCTGCACCTGTGTATCGGTCGTATAGGTCATACGACCCGTAGCCGGGGATCGGCTCCAACCCCCCCCCCCCCCCCAACACTAGAACTGGCTTTTGAGGAAAGCTTTCTTTTCATGGCACCAAAGACAATGGATGGAAGGAAGTCATATTCCAATCAGCTTCCAGTCGCTGTAGTGTGGCGATTCATTAGTCGTTGCAGCAGTGCTTCGTATGTATGTAAAACACAGTGCTTTCCGCGATAACTAATTTTCGGACCTGCGATAACGATAAAACGATAAGTAAGGTTTGCGATAACGATAAACGATAAACGATAAGAATTTTCAAAAAATTAACAACGATAGCGATAAAACGATAAAACGATAACGGTATTTGTTTTTAACAGCGATAACGAAACGATAAACGATAAAACGATAACGATAATTGTTTTTAACAGCGATAACGAAAAGATTAACGATACAACGATAACGATAATTATTTTTTAACAGCGATAACAAAAGCAATAAGAAATACAGCTTAAATAAGCGTACTTAGTTTATTTGCAGATCTATAGCTACACTTAGCAGATGGCAACAGGTTGCGCACACAGTACATACTGTCGTGCGGCATACACTGCCGATCGTCTTCCATTTTTCCATCATCCCGTTTTACATTTTATCGTGTATCGTTCATAATTTTTGTAACCTGCGATAAGTGGATGAGCGATAATTTTGAAAATTTAGCGATAAACGATAACGATAACCGATTTACTTAACAGCGATAATTATCGTTTATCGTTTATCGCTCATCTTATCGCATGCGGAAGCCACTGGACTTTAAAACATGGTAATACCTAGGGGCCAATGACATGCTACAATATACCAATAAAAAATAAAAGTTGAAAGTTTGTTGCTTCTTGTTAGTTCTGACCTCTCTGTCGTGAAGCTACTTAAGTGTTTCAACTAAACTAGGTAATTAACCCGCGCCCCATGGTAGATTATAATTACAACACGACCAGGGGGACTACTTCTTACCCCCTCGTATCTCCGAAACTACTGGACGGATTAAAAAAAAAAAACCGAACGATGTTCCATAGCCATGTAAAAACTTTAAACAGAAAATCCAATTTCATTTACGTCGGGGTCACCGATGACGTCACAGGTCAGGCTCAAGCTAAAATGTTTCACAGTCCACAGACCTTCTAGGAAATGCGTTATAACATCGAGTAAAATGCATTTTATCGAAAATCATCGATAGAGCGTCGGTTGCCTATAGTAGATATTTTTGCTTAGTACCTAAAAGAGTTGTTGTTGGTTGCCTAGTAGTTAATAAAAGAGGTCACTGATACCAGGTCAGGTCAAAGAGGGAAGGCCAACAAGGGTCAACACATGAATGCAACTTTACTAGGGCCGTGTGATGCATGTTTTATGATCAATTTCTCATTTCCGACTCAATGGTGTTGGTAAGACCATCAGGGACGGTTGAGGTTACCTACGTTGTGGTGGAGGTCAGGTCAATGTCAGGTCAAAAACTGTGAAATTTAAAAGTTGATATTTTTGCATTAAAAAAGGATAGCTATTCGATGCAGCTCATCACGGGGAATCCAAGGTTTTATTCTACGTGGTCTACAATGGCTAGAAATTGAGTTTCAATATTAAACGTCATCAATTTTGAGCAGTTCTTTTGCCAAAATTTCGCAAAAAAACAGTAACCGAGCTCAAATTCGGCATGCCGATAGCAGACTTATGATTCTATGACATGTATTCCGTTTTGACTCGAAATTTTGAAAATTTCTGGTATTTTAAGGGTTTCATATAAACATTTTTTTTTTATTTTTGGCGTAAAAATAAAGAAATTCGAAAAATCCGAGATAACAGTTTTGTAGCCCTGTTCATTTTTTTAATTTGAATTTGTTATTTACCTTCAAAACTGTAGGCATGACAGCTCTTCTCGAAAAAAAACTTTTTTGGGTCGAAAATGGCCGAACATGACGTCACTTTGACGTCATTTGCGCCCAGCCTTTCATAGATTCTGGAACAGTTTTTGGACATAAAGTGTAAAATTGACGTAAGTGAAGATACTGAAAGTGTCGCGACGATCAGTGCAGTAGTTTTAGAGATAATTACGAGAAAAATGGAGGGGCGGGGGGGGGGGGTAAACAATAACGCCCCTCCCCCACCAGGGCACGGGCCTTTCTTATTTCAACAAATAGTTGATGTTCCTGTATCAGATAACTACGGATAACTGTATCGTGGGATTTATCACGGTCAACACCTTGCGTTATCGTGCGATTTTTCCCATACTTCTACTAAGTTGCTGATTCTCTTTGGAGACAGTCGACAGCTTCGGCAGGTTGACTCTCCATCAGTTGAATTTATGGGCGAAACGCTGAGATGTTCGCAAACAGTGAAAAACCTAGGAGTTGTTATCGACCCGTCACTGTCTTAAAATTGTCACATCGATCGATTGTTAAAAAGTGCATCGGCATCCTCATCGTTAGGTATACCTAATGTCAAGCATTGTTTCCGAAAATAATCGACGCTCTCGTTTTCTCTCATGTAAGGTACTGTGCACAAGTGTATGGCAGCGCAAATCATGCGAATGTGTCCAAAATCCAAAAAATATTTAACTTCGCTGCAATTTCAGGCCGTAGAAAAATATGATCATATTAGAAGCGTTTTAAGCGAATGTTGGAATGTTGGGGGTAAGGGCGGGTAAGAGGACACAGGCGACAAGAGTACGCAGCAGCTGTTTCGAGCCTATTATGAGATTAAACGACACAGATAAAACGGTGACTTGACCACGTTTAGATAAAAGTGACGGACCTTCAGGAGTAGAATTTGGCCGATGTAATATAATTTGTGTCATAGGCGCAAATGCGACAATGTGTCCCGTACATTGAATGACTCACGATATGCACATCCTCGACCTACCAGGGCGGTGTTTCACGGGCTGCTGCTACCACGCTGCTATCAAATTGCGCGAGCTGACGTCACACTTGTGGTAGTGTTGGAGCAATGGGCCTGTTGATGTCTCCATGGAAACCCAATTTGACAAGTCGTAAAATCGGCGTGCTGCTATCACCGGTGAAACAGGGCCCAGAGATTTTTTTTTTATTATACCGTTCCCACCATAATGCCTACGTCACAAACTCTCGACGTAAGCCTTTTGCAGCGAATATGCGCGGCTTATGAATTAAACTTCGAAAGAAGAGTGCAGCCGATTGCATGCATGAATGACTA